ACCAGGGATCCTGACATCAAAATGGTTCATCCATGTTGCCTTGAATTTCTTTGGCGCAACAGTAAGTCCATTATGAGTGTTAACAATGTGAAGTTTGCGAGGCTTCTTGTTCCTATTCTTTGCAGCCTTTCTCTTTTGCCTCTCCTCACTAGTTTCATATTTATAATGAGCTCTTAAAACATGAGTCGCAAAAAGCAACGATGTACTGAACCCTTCCATACACTTAGGGCATGTGTATGGACCGTATTTGTTGCAAGGGAGGCTGTGAGTCACCCCATCATAACTCTCATCATCATCACTTTCAGATTGATGATGATCTCCATTTGGGTTGTTCGGAACTCTTGTTTGTTGGGAACAATTTCCGATGGAGTTTTCACTCATGCGCGATAAAGTTGGCAAGATCTTCAATGATTGAGCATTAAGAATGTTGTTGTTGTTACCAAACGCACCATTGCTCAATGATTGAGCAAACAAAAGATCATTTTTCATCCCGAAAAGGTCCCTATCATTCGGATAATTAAGGGGGGATGAATTTGGTGAGAAGTTGTAAGGACAATGATGAGTAATAGGAAAATTGTTAACGTTTCTAGCAAGAATCATTGGGTTTGGCATGGTGATGTCGGTTGACTGGTTTTCGATATTGGAGTAAGCTCCTAGGAGTTGTTGAAACCCGATCAAGTTATTGAAAGATGGCACAAAAAGCTGTAATCCAGCAGGATTTGAAGTGAGAAAACTTTTACGCACAACTTCAGTTACAAAGACCTCAGTAAAGCCTGGTTGATTTTGGAGAGGGACACAACCAATGTAATTTTCAACCTGGACCCTTTTTGGGTAGGAACCAAAGATTCTCCCCATATCCTGACCCATCATTGGATTGCTTATCCCAGTTTGGCCAACACCGAGATTGTTTTTTGGGAAAAGGATGGGATTTTGGGTAAACCTGGTTGAGGAATTGGTGAAATTGAATTGGGAATTCGCCATGATATTCCTTTGGTTAACATGGTAATTAGCGTTGGATCTCAGAAGGCTGCTTTGGCTGCTTGAGTTGAAGAAGCAAGTCATATTGTTGTCAACACCATTACCATGATAATTAGGATTGAACGAGACTGAGTTGGAGTTAAAAGAAAAAGAGGACTTAAATTTCGTCGCCATGGAAATGATTGAGAGGCTCGCAAAGAACACAGGAAAATAATAAAGCGAAATAAGGAGAGAACAAGCTTTGATGGAAGACAGCTTGGGTTTATATCACATATTTATAATATTTTTTTTGAGGTTGGTGGGATGAAACTTTTTTTCTAAGATATCATTGTCTATCCATAAATTTAAAAATGTTAGATATTTATTACAAAATTGGGTAATGTAATAATTATTTTTCTAAAATTTGGCAGATTTTACGGTTATTCAAAGAAAAAGAAGAGAATCTGATATTTTTAAAATATATTGAAAAATCAGATATAAAATTAAATAGAAGATTTAATGCTTATTAATTCTCTTCATCTGTTTCAAGAAACTTAGAGGAATAATAATTAAGAGAATAAGAACAAGGATAATATTTTATATTTTAGGAAAAATATTTGAAAAATAAGAATGATAATTAATCTCCTTCCCGCGTTTTATAATTCAAATTTTTATGTATTCTAACTAAAAAAAAATATTTAAATTTTAATATTATTATAAATTATTATATTTAAAATGATTTAATAATCTAAAAAATTTAATTGTAAAGAAATTAATTTTAATATAGTCGATAATTTAAAAATTAAAATAATATAATAATTTTTTTTCTTAATTTTTATAACAACATAATTTAATGAATTAACGAATATAATAGTTATTTAGTATATTTTATTTATTTTATTTTAAATTATCATTATTTTTATTCTCATCGAATTAGTTTAAATTCGAATATGATACATTATATGCTATTCTATTTAAAAATTTAAATAGAAAAAGTATAAAAGAAAACAAATATAATAAACCTCTACTCGAAACTAGGGAAGTAGAAAGACAATCTCCTAATTAGTTTTCTTGCTGTTCAAGATTCGGGTATTGGTCGTTCTGATCTGAAATTGTTAATACTAAAGAGTGAACTACACTAAATCTGTAAAAAAAATCAATGCATTACCACTGATATAGAAAATCAAATGGTTGTCGAAAACATAAAACAACCAATGGAGCTCATTTTTAATAAAATTTGAATATATATATGCAAATAATAAGTGTTCGTATATGTAAAGGCCCAAACCTCGTACTAAAAATTTTTAACGTATGACTCAAAAATAGTTGAATAAGCAGTATATAAAATTTATAATTTAGCAGAAGCAATTAGAGTTTATGGTTACATTTCTTGCACAGTTTACTTAAAATACCTAATAGGCTTACGAGAATACTTTTAAAAATTTAAATAGAAAAAGTATAAAAGAAAACAAATATAATCAACCTCTACTCGAAACTAGGGAAGCAGAAAAACAATCTCCTAATTAGTTTTCTTGCTGTTCAGGATTCGGGTATTGGTCGTTCTGATATGAAATTATTAATACTAAAGAGTGAACTACACTAACTCTGTAAAAAAAATCAATGCATTACCACTGATATAGAAAATCAAATGGTTGTCGAAAACATAAAACAACCAATGGAGCTCATTTTTAATAAAATTTGAATATATATATGCAAATAATAAGTGTTCGTATATGTAAAGGCCCAACCTCGTACTAAAAATTCTTAACGTATGACTCAGAAATAGTTGAATAAGCAGTATATAAAATTTATAATTTAGCAGAAGCAATTAGAGTTTATGGTTACATTTCTTGCACAGTTTACTTAAAATACCCAATAGACTTACGAGAATGTTTTTAAAAATTTAAATAGAAAAAGTATAAAAGAAAACAAATATAATCAACCTCTACTCGAAACTAGGGAAGCAGAAAGACAATCTCTTAATTAGTTTTCTTGCTGTTCAGGATTCGGGTATTGGTCGTTCTGATCTGAAATTGTTAATACTAAAGAGTGAACTATACTAACTCTGTAAAAAAAATCAATGCATTACCACTGATATAGAAAATCAAATGGTTGTCGAAAATAGAAAACAACCAATGGAACTCATTTTTAATAAAATTTGAACGCTACTGCATTCATTATTTGTTTAACTAAAAACATTAATATTTTCTCAAGTCACCTATAAATTCTAAAATGTCATTAATTAATGTAAGAATTAGAATAGTAATCTATAATGTGCATTCTAAAGACATATAGTAATTAACTTTACGCTATTTCCTAAAACTGGGTTCCTTACCATATTTATCTTTATTATTTTACCTCGCCTACGGGTGTCGTTGGGGGTGTATAGAGATTCCCATTACATGTGGACACAAACATTCATTATATTAATCAAATGATTGTACTCATACCCCGTCCGATAATGGGCACCAAAACTAATAACCGCCTCAATATTCTGTCTGGTCTGAGCATAATTAAAACGATTCCCAACCCCTTTTAGTATGAAACTTTTTAGCTCCATACGACTAAAAGTAACGTTCACGGTAGGGTTCACCCCATAAACCAAGTCCGTACACTCTTTCTCAAGACACCTGGTAAGCCTCTTTCGTTCAATAATATTAATTCACTTATATCTTTTCTTTTATTTACTATTTAATATTAAGAGGCACGTATATCTAAATCCTAAATAACACATGAGTATAAAATTCATATTTTAAGGTACGTACTTGAAATAAGCATGTATTATACCGACAAAAACGTACTACACACAAAAGAAAATAACAAGACAACATAGATTAAGAAATTTTATTACGTTCGTCATAGAATTAAAACAAATGCATTAAAGTAAGCAGTACAGTGAATAGATAAGCATAATAAATAACTGAAGAAATAATTACTACAATTAAAACTCAAAACAGACACAAACTAACCGGTTAGTTACTCCATTGGTAAACTGTACTTTAATCAATTAAAGGACTATAGATTAACTAAAATTTTTATTTATTATCAGTTTAGCTTCAATTTAACCGTAATAGAAAAAATAGTTGAGAAATTCTTACCGTGAATCGGTGTCCAAAATACCGTCTTTTTCACTGCAGTATCTAGCAATTCTCGATTCTTAAATTTATTGAATTTTTCTACTTTTTCCAAATGTACGTCAAAATAGCATGAAAATATGCAAAAAAAAAAATGGCCAAAAAGATAAAAAAAATATCACCCAGGGGTCAGGTTGGGGTTCCGGTGCGGCGACAACGTCGTGCTCTGCCGCCGGGTCTTTCTTCTCCAGCGACTCCTCCCTTAGTCAGGTCATTTTTGGCCGATTCTCGGTCAAAACTTGTTTAAATCATTTCAAGCTTAAATTCTGGACTCGGGATGTTACAATATACTTTATGAAACAATCATTTATATACTGAATTGATTACTTTTTACATATTTATACATTTATTTTTATTTTATCATTATTTTTAACTACAAAATATTTTTAAAATATATAAAAATTAAGTACAAAGAAGATATTTTAAATATTAGCTTAAAGATGAGAATAAATATTCTATATTTATTTTAAATTTGAATTAAAAAATAATATTCAAGGTAATTTTAGTTCATCACAAGGATTATTTATAGGTAAAAATTCGGTTTAAAAATAATTATATTTCACATAACTAAAATTCAAAGATAATTTTAGTTATGATTTAAATATGTAATATACAATTAAATATTTATGGTGGTTTTTAATTAAATATATAATATATAAAAAAAATGAGTGAACAGTAATATATTTATATTTGTCATATGGGTAATTATACCTAACAATTATTTGTCTTAACTATGAAAAATAATAATTTTAATATTTAATAAATTGTATAAGATATGTTTTTTTTTTATAAATATAAAAATTGAAAAAATATTATGTTAATTAATTAAAAAAACTTAATATATAGTTTTATTCGATTTTATTTTTTAACTAAATATTATTAAATAAATATTTTATCATTATTTTAAAGATGGCCAGGCTGTATCCAGAACTTCTCCAGTGAAATTCCTAATTTACCCTTTTCACTGTCGGCCCGCTGAATAACCTCTCCGACCGCTTGATTGCACCGCTCTGAACTTCGAACCATTTCGCGAAACACTAATCTTATCGGCGAAGAACCGGGAATCGCGGTGCTTCCATATCGGCGGTACTGAAAGGGAATGGTTGCAGAGTGAGGAACAAGGGAATTTGGCGACGAGGTTATTGGTCTCCGCATTTAAACTTGCCTGTATACACATAGGAAGACAAACGAAAGAATTAATTGCTATATACATATTTCTCGTTTCTGTGTTTTTCGTATGAATAGGAAGCTATTTTATGCTTTTTAGACTTGTGGATTTACTGTGAAATTGGATAAAAATGGTTAATTGATTAACTGGGTGCAGTTCATTACGTGGGTAGTTTGCTTGATGGCACCAAGCTATTTTAAGCTTTGCGAAGTCATAACCTCCGACCGCTGTTTGTCTCGTAATCATGTCTGGTATAGTTTTTAGTTGCACGTCAACTTTCCTTTACTGTGTTTTTTTCAATTTTGTTTTTGTTTAGGGTTTACTGGAATTTTCGGTGAAGGGGTTTAGAGGGGATGAATGACTAGTGAAATAGAGGAGGAGGTGGACAACAAAATACAGACGATGTTAAAATCTAGGAAATTAGCAAAAGAGCACAAGGAGCAGTTAAGAAAAGGTTAGGAGCTTTTTGTTTAAGTGACAATAATGTCGTTTTGTATTTATATTTTGTTTTATATAATTCATTTTCATGTCTCTGTTTCTGGTGTAGTAATCTTTTGGGTTCTTCAACTGGTCTGGTCCCTGTGTAGCTCTCAAGCTCTTCAAGTTAAAGGACATTTGAACTTATATCTGTCCCGGTTCAACACCTTTTTTTTATAAATTCATCATAGTATGGGATTTTTTGACATATAATCTGACTGAAATTGGGGTAGAGGATGTCGTATGTGTAATTGATCAATGAGAATATTGGGATTTAGATTATGGTCGGATTGAGGGATTACAAATTATTTGAATCTGAAACAAGGGTAAGAGCCCATAGGTTCTGCATCATGAAAGTATACTCATTTATAGGGAGTATTTTTTCCTCTGGGAGTTGAATCCCTTGACTATAGATTATGCTTCTTGGTTATAAGTTATCTTAAGGAAATTAATATATGGATCTAGACTCGGGTGACTAGTATAGTTGAATTCATAGACTGAAGAACTGCTTTGATTCTTTTGCTTGTTTCGCATGTCTCTGTTCAAATTTTTCAGGTTCAATTTCATGGCAACTCTGTCATTTTCTCCTGTTTTCACTGAACTAAAGTTCTTGAAAGAACTGCTACGTTAATTTCACCCCCATCTTCCCTTCTATTTGCTTTTTTGATTGTTGTTCCAGGATTCTCCTGTTCTGTCCTTCTTGGTGATAAAACTGTTTGTTCAATTTTTCAGCGTTGTCCGCTTTAAGATTGTACCACGAGAGGTTGCCTTGCTTAAATTATGACTTCATGTTAATATTCCTTAACCTGTTTGTTGTAAGATGATATTTTTGAAAGTTTCCAACTAGTAGAGAAGTGTTTGCACTTTTAGAGAAGATATCAAGTAATCTTTTCTTTTGTCACGAATGCTTTACTAGTTGTATATAAACTGGCTTTATAGTTGAAGGCTTTCTTGTGCTAAAGATCACTATTCTTATAATAGTGAAATGTCTAAAGGAAATTGATGATATTGTGATGTTAATTGGCTGTTTGATCTGGAATTACCTTTAATGGAAGTTTATCTACCTGTTTGGATCTGTAAGCAAAAATAAAAGGAGTTTGTTTAAATGCTCAATCTATTAAGTTCCTCACTCAGTTCATCTTTCCTTTGTCATCTCTCTCTTTCTCTATATATATATATATATTTATATGTTTACGTGTGTATGTGTGTATACGCGTATGAAATATGTTCATGCATTTGCCACCTGTTTGTCTATCTCACAGAGAAAGACATGTTTAGACACATTGAGGCAGGACATGTTTATGTAAGATAAACAAAGAAATATCTTTAGAAGGACCTTGTTGCTTAGCCCAAAGAAATGAAAGAAAAAGCATCAGTCTCAAATAAACAAAAAATCAAGAAGTGATCCTTAAAGATCTTGTGTTTCTCTCCAAGCCCTCAAGAACTAGAAGAGTAACCCAAGAAGTAGGAAATTACCTAAATTATCGAGTAAATATCTTGTGTATTTCTCTTGCCTAAATTTTCTATATGTTATGACAGCTTCATTTTTAATGTTGTCTTGTAACTTTTAAGCTGTCAACAATTAAATCTATTATGTTTTCTGTCTATTGTGACGTTTTCAGTTTCTCACCAATTTAATTGTTGTTGTTGATTCTTTAATATAAGAGCTTTCAATATTTTCATACACAATAGGTATGAATGTATATAGTTTGGTTTTATTTAATGTCTGTCGGGGCGAGAAATTTATTTAATCCCTATCTATTTTTTGACAATTCTATAGTAAACTATAAGATCTAAAATGCATCAAAATGTAAAATACAACACACCAACTGTCAGTGGATCAAAGGTTATATGTGAAATTTTCAATTTAATAGATTATACAATATTTAACTATTTTGTGTAAAGTTACCTAGATGACATAGAAGATTAATGAGCGCACATGATTACTAGCATGAGGAGATGGTCTATTTATTTGACATATCTAATTTTAGATTTTGTACTAGAACATAACTTTAGATGCAATACGAGACTTATATATGACCGTTCTTCAACCTTATTTGTGCATTGTAAACAATAATTCATTATTTAAGCATAATCTTGTAACATATAAAGAAAATAAAAACAAGCATATATTAATTTACATCATTAAGAGAGATTCAACTATGGGATAAAACCATATTTATCATTTCATATATACATTATTTGAGTACCAGTTTTTTGGAATTAAAGATCAAATATTTAATTTACTTTTCTGACATCTCCACAAGAGAAAACTCATTAACCTGATCATCGATTTCTTCTCCTTTAGCAACAACAATCGGAGGAGCATGTCTCCAATTTATATTTTGTTTTAATTCATTTTCATGTCTCTGTTTTTGGTTTGTTAATCTTTTGGGTTTTTTTACTGCTCTGGCTACTGTGTAGCTTTCAAGCTCTTCAAATGTAGGAGATTTGAGCTTATATCTGTTTTAGTTCAACACCTTTGTTTTTTCTAATTCATTTTAATTTGAGAATTTTTGCATATAGACTGACTACAAATCTAGTATAGGATGCCTTATGTGTTATTGATCAAAGACAATATTGGGGTTCAGATTATGGTCAAATTGAGGGATTACAAATTATTCGAGTATGAAACAAGAAGAAGAGCCAATAGGTTTTGCACCATGAAAGTATACTCATTTATAGGGAGTACTTTTTCCTTTTGGAGTTGAATCCTGTGGCTATAGATTTGGCTCATTCCAAATTTGGTTCTTTGTTATAAGTTATCTTAAGGAAATTAATATATATGGCTCTAAATTCGAGTGATTAGTATAGTTGAGTTCACAGACTGAAGAACTACTTTAGTTCTTTTACTTGTTTTGCATTTCTCTGTTCATTTTTTTCAGGTTTAATTTCATGGTAGCTCTGTCCCTTTTCTCCTAATTTCACTAAAATGAAGTCCTTGAAAGAGAACTACTAATTTAATTTCACCTCCATCTTCTCGCTTATTTGATAATTTGATTGTTGTTCAGTGATTCTCCTCTTCTGTCCTGCTTCATGATAAGACTCCTTGTTCATTTTTTCAATATTGCCTGCTTTAAGATTGTACCACGAAAGGACATCTTGCTTAAATTATGATTTCTAGTTAATATATGTTAATCAGTACAAATTGGTATATATGTTATTTCCTATATTGGTTATTGTTGCTAAGTTCCTCCTTGCTCGTTGTTGTTTTCTTGCTCATTGTAAGGATTTTGGTTTCTCATTTTTCTTGTCTTGTCTTCCATACATAACTTTAGTTTGCACCCTCTATAGTCCAATTTCCCCCATTCTAGTTGCTTATTCAAATTTCCTTTCTCTAGCTGTTGTTCGTCGTGAGAGCCTCACTTACTAAGTCAAAATGATGCCATTAATGTTATATTTTGTTTTAGTAATTCATTGTGTATCGTTGGTCATATCACCATTTCCTTGTATTTCTTGTCTTCTCTTACCATATCATCAATCTCGTTACATGAATAGTCAATAAAAATTCAATTTTTATCTCGAAACTTATAGACTAAAGGTTTATATATCCCTTAGTTAGGTTTTCTTCTTTTGTTCTTTACGAGCAACAACATCATGTAGCTTAAGTTTGAATGGGCTTGAAAATTGTATAGAAATAAACCTTGAAGAGAATTACAGGCACAAACTATATTGCACTTAAATAATAAGAAGGAAGTTTGATTTCCTTAATTTTTTCTAGTCCCAAGATTTAATTTGGCCTATTTAAAGATTTTAAAATTTTAATTGAGATAATTTTTTTCATGATTTTACCATTTATTTTAATTTTCTAATAGAAATTGAAAAATTGAGGATACGAAATTAGACTATAACACAAGTACTACATCTAAAGTGGATATTATTCTAAAATGTTTTCTCTTCTTTCTGGTGTGTCAATATTGATATGAATTAATATTCTTTTATCTATTAGCTATGGTGGATTTTTTCTTAATTGTAGAAAGAGACTAGATAAGTTGTTATTTCTTGAATATTTTCTTTGAATGATAATAATATACAGTGTTTAATTAATGAGAAAAAAATCTACAATTTCTCAAATTCTTTGCATCGAGTCTAGTTTTTTCATACTCTTTTAGAAACAAATCAATTTGAAGATATCGTGACTAAAGGAGGTGTTGCAAGAGGAGATAACACATGGAAGCATTCTTCTCATGATTGTGAAGATCTAATCTATTCATCATTACCTGCTTTCACTGGTATGATTTCGCCCTTGTTATAATCATTTTGTATTTAAATTTTAATTTTGTTCAATTCATACGAGTATCTAAATTTTAGAATTCGTTGAATTTATTTGAATTACTTATTTTTAACGAGCAAATCAATTTGGGATTTTTTTTTGCCAAAAGAAAAGCATTGCAGGCCAGGGCTCTAAGAAGCTTTTTTGTTGTTTTGAAGATTTAGTTTTAAAGTCCTGTGTATTTTTCTTTCCAAAAATTTCAATGTTTATGACAGCTTCACTTATAATGTTGTCTTGTAGCTTTTAAGTTGTCAACAACCAAATTAATTTTTTTTTTTGCCTATTATGGCATTATCAATTTTTCACCAATTTAATTGTTGTTGTTGATTCTTTAACATAAGAAGGCTTCCTCCATCAGCGGTGCACTGCCTAAGCTTGCAATGCCCGGCCGGCGCATTGCAGTCTAGCCTACAGGCGCATAGGCCTGCTATTGCGCGTGCGTAGGGCCTAGGCGCACTGGGTGTCGTGTGCACAGGCCCCAAGCGCACAAGGCTTGTCTGCGTAGGTATGTTGCGCGGACGGCACACGTATAGTATGCGATGCCAGTTTGTGTGCGAAGTGACGTGCGAACAGCCCGCCTTCGCGTACAGGTCCTGACCCTGCATCATGCATGCGAAGGGGGACATGCTCGTTGTCCACACGTCCTGTGTGTGTGTGCGTGCGAAGGGGAAATGCGTGTTGTGCGCACGCCTCGCGGCCACTGTGCGTGCATACGCGCGCGCACAGTACCTAGCACCCGCGCAGGCAAACTAGCATCTTATGGGATTTTTCTCGCGAGTAGTTTTTCTCCCACTTAGCCGTTTTTTCAATTTTTTTCTAAATTTTTCTTTTAATTTAAAATTAAATAAAATAATTTAAATAAAAATAAAAAAAAATAATAAGTTAAAATTATGAAGAATGAGAAATGTTAAACAACGTAAATTAATTAATTTTAAGGTCAACCAAAGACCCGAAAAAATAGAGTTTTCAAATCATTTTAGTATAGTGATGGGGGGGTGTTGCAGACTTAGATGCATTCTCTCCCTAGGCACGATCGAACGGATAAGATGAATCGCGATGAACGGTCCAGATTTGTCCACGCAATCGGCCTAAACAAGCAATGATCGGACGACTCTCCTCGCTCTATGTCGATGCGAATGGACGATCTAGATCGACGCGGGATAAGTATAAAAATATTGCGTCACAGGGGAACCTTAACCTTAGCTGCACACGCCCTCGCCAGATAAGAAGGACCAGCTGTCGAAGAAGGAGACTGACCCCCGGCCGCTACCGCATCAGAGCCACCATCGATCGCCAAAAAAGGTAAAATTCTTCCATACCCGCTTGGAATTCAATCAATTCTGAGTCTCCTTGTGGCCATATCGGAGCAAAAGGGACAATGGTTGTGCCGAAAACCGCGGGTAAAGCCCGGCAGAGCCATCGCAGCCGAAACCCTAAAACTCCTCCGATGAGTCCCTTTCAATTTTTCAATTCATGCAATTTTCTAATCATTATATTCATCGTCTTTTTCTCTGCAGGTTATCCGAAGAAAGAACTCCAATCGTGAAGGAAAACTAGCGGAGATGCTGCACTCGGAGACCCTCCACCGGTAGGTTTGATTTTTTGTGATTTTTCGACTAACCGAGGCCCCCTAACGCTTTGTCCACAGGAATGCGTGTTAAATTATCAAAACTGGCCAAAATCGGTCAGGCCAAGGTGAACCACCGCCGTGGGAGTCGGAGCCGGCACCGGAGGACGGTGGTGGCGCCGTGCCGGAATCCTAAAATTGACCATAAAGGGTTTTCAACATTGATTTAGGATTTTGTGGTATTTTAGTTGTGTGATGAGTATTTTGGATTCCCACAAGAAAATTTAGGAAACCTGGGACCTGTTAGGGGATATAATAGATAGTGCAATATTTCGAAATACCAATCTGGGTAAGGATCCTTCACCCTATTCTCGGCTACAGTAAATTGAGGATTAATAATCATTAATCTTATTTTGTGAAAAATTAGAAAAATCCTAAAAATGTTACAGGTCACTGGTGAAACCGGAATCGGTTATTTCATATTTGTCCTTATTTCCAGTTTATTTTCCTTTATTGCATATATTTATTTACTATTATACTGTGCATAATTGAATTGATAGTTTTTATGATCTCCTCAATTATTTGGTTATTTGACTCATCTTGCATTATTTTTTTGTATTTTGATTATTTGATTATTTTGCTATACAAAACTGTATCGCTTGTTTAAGTGTCCTTTAAATTAATCTGTGAATATGAAATGAGGTCTTGACATGTTTTTGTTATTGTTTGGATTATGAGAATCTAAATAAATGAAAGCTTACTAAGCATCCTGGGAAAGGGTGGATGAACCCGGTATATAGGAAATCCTACCGTAGATATTACTTTAGTCAGATGGGGCTGAGATTTCATACCGGATGAGTTTTGGAAAAATATGGTTTATTCTTATACCGAACAGGGTATCGAGACGATAGTATTTTGGCATCCATTACCAGACGGGGTATGGAGATGGACGAGTTAATTATCAAATCATGGTACACGAGTAAAAGGATATCCCAATAAGTAGGGTAAAAAGGAAGGATTGTTGATCCTATGCATGAAATTAAAATATCATTTGGTTAATTATCTTCGTAGGTTGATTTTGAAAAAAAAACTCATAGCGGTAAGTATCGAATAAAATGTTTTAAAGTTAAATGTATTTACTTAAAATAAGAGCTTCATTAGTTATTTTCTAATTTTTACCAACCTTCAGTTTTTCGTATAAATGATTAGTGTGATATTCTTACTGGGTTAGTGTAGTTCACATGTTCATTAATAATTTCATATCAAGAAAACCAAAATTCAGATCCCGATCAGCAAGAAGGTTATGAGTAGTTCACATTTCGGACTCCCTTCAAGTGCTAGTGAAGGTTGCCCTAAGATGCTTATTTATTCTTTTTCTTTAATTATCGTTTTTCTTTTATAAACTACATAGAAGGGACATTCTCATAACCCTATTGGGTGATTCAATTTATTGTGCAAGAAATATAAATTTTAATATTATTATTCGCTTCTGCATTTAAATTATAAATTTATTTTATTTTAAGTTCAGGGTCTTTACATTATTTGAATGATAATAATATACAATATTTAATTAGTGAGAAAAAAATCCCACAATTTGTCTAATTTTTTGTATCAAGTCTAGTTTCTTCATATTCTTTTAGAAACAAATCATTTTGCAGATATCGTAACTAAAGGAGGAGTTGCAAGAGGAGATTACACATGGAAGTGTTCTTCTCATGTTTGTGAAGATCTAATCTATGCATCATTACCTACTTCCACTGGTACGACTTCACCTTTGTTATGATCATTATGTATTCAAATTTTAATTTTGTTCAATTCATACGAATATCTAAATTTTAGAATTTGTTGAATTTATTTAAATTACACATTTCTAACAAGCAAATTAATTTGGAGTTTTTTTTGGCCAAAAGAAAAGCACTGCAGGCCAGTTTTGTTGTTTTCGAAGATTTAGATTTAAAGTTCTATGTATTTTTCTTCCCAAAAATTTCAATATTTATGACAGCTTCACTCGTAATGTTGTCTTATAGCTTTTAAGCTATCAACAATCAAAGCAATTTTTTTTCTGCCTATTATGACATTATTAGTTTCTCACCAATTTAATTATTGTTGTTGATTCTTTAATATAAGAGCTTCCAATATTTTCATGTGCAATTTATATTTATGTCTGTGGTTTGGTCTTATTTAGTGTCTATAGGAGCGAGAAATTGATTTAATCCCTATCTATTTTTTTATGGTTTTATGTAGTAAACTATAAGATCTAAAATGCATCAAAATATAAAATACAACACAGAAGTTGTGAGTGGATCAAAGGTTTCTTATGAAGTTTTTTTAATTTGATAGATCGCACCATATTTAAAAAATTAGTGTAAAGTTATCTACATTACATAAAATATTAATTAGCTCACATGATTATGGGTATGAAGCAATTAGTTTATTTGATATATCTAGTCTTAGATTTTGCACTAGTGTCTAACTTCAAATGTAACACCCGGACTCAGAAATTTGGTTCGGAATAATTTAATATTAATAAGAAAAGTGATTTAAAATAGTTTAAATTTTAATTTTTTAGAAATTTTTGGTGAAAATTGGATTTTAGATGCATTTGAAATATTTTTGAAAATTAGAACTAAAGAAAAATAAGAGAAGACTTATTTGAAAAGAAATATTGAAAACTAAGATAAAAATAAAATTTTCAAAAGTTTGGCCACATGGACTGCCACGTCAGCAGCATGACCAATCTTCATGCGCCGTGTGGTAGACACGTGGAGAGACATTCACATGGGAGGCCACGGTGGTGATTCGCGTGCCAGCAGATCCAACGACCCAGATCGCATCCCACATGCACAGACGATCTAGATCCATTTCTTTTTCAAGCACGATCAAACGACTGGATTTGATCGTAATGGACGGTCCAGATTTGCACACTAATTGGCCTAAACGAGTCTCGAATTAGATGGCTCTCCTTGCTCCACGTCGACGTGAATGGATGGTCAAGATCAGGGGAGGAGAGGTATTTAAACCTCTCTTCGGTTGGCTCCCAAAACCCTAGCCGACACCCCTCACAGGAGAAGAAGAAGAAGGGCGGTTAGAGGAAAACTCAACCACAAGAGGGACATTGTCGCCGCCGTACTGGAGCCACCACCGACACTGAAAAATGTAAAATTTTTTCTCTTCTGCTTGGAATTGAATTTCAAACCTCCCACACCCATATCGGAGCCAAAAAGATTACGGGTGAACCGTAAAATACGAGCGGAGCTCGGCCGAACCACCGCGGTCTCAATTTTTCCCTTTGTCGGCCGACAGAGGCTCCCTAACCTAATTTTTTACAGGTTTTCATGCAAAATAAGTCAAAATCGGTCGAAAATGACCAGACTAATAGCAAATGCCGCTGTGGGTAGTGGAGCACGGCGGTGGCACCGTGCCGAAACCTTACCGACAAAAGTTTAAAAAAATTGCTTATTTTGGTCTTTTGGGGTATTTTCGGATACGTGATACTATTTTTTATTTCTGCAGGAAAAATGCAGGAAATCTGGGGACCGTCTAAAGCCGCAATGAGAAGAACAGTGTTTTGAACTCCGATTCGTAGTAAGAATCCTTAACAATTTTTATCGTAATGATAAATTAAAGTTTCAATAATTAATAATGGTATGTTTTGTAAAAATTAAAAAATCTTAAAATTAATTGCAGGTCACTAGTAGAATCGATAACTGGTCAGTACGAAATTGTTTATTTTATGAGATTGTAGTTGTAATTGGTGGTTGATGAAATGTTGTGAACATACTTGAAGGGTGTACGGACCCAGTGCATAAGGAAAACCCTACCGTTGACAACTTCTCAGTCGAGCATGGCTGAGAAGTCTCATACCGAATGGGGTATCGAGGTGATGGTATGTTTGGCGCCCATTACCGAACGAGATATGAGGATGACCGATTGATTGATAATTTAGATATTAATTTCACGCGTAGGAGGACGTCTTTATGGACCCCTAGAAATACTAGTAAGCAGGTAAGAATGTAAGTTTATTGTTATTGTTTATTTGAATCTGTAATAAAAATATTATTCGAATTATTGTCTTTATAGGTCGATTTTCAAAACTCATAAGGGTAAGTATGAAATAATGGTTTTTAAGTTAAACGAATTGATTTAAAAAGAAATAATGGCTTCATTGGTTGTTTGACAATTTTTATCGACCTTTGATTATCCGTATCGGTGTTAAATGTGATATTCTCATTAGGGTAGGTGTAGCACATTCTCTTTATTTAACAATTTCATGTTAGAAAGACCAAGATGCAGATCTTGAACTGCAAACGGGTTGCGAATAAAAGTTGTGTCCCGCATCCAATCAGAGTTACCCAGTAGAGGTTAACTCCATAGCATCTTTTGTTACATTTTATATATTTATTTATTTCATTGTTGAAACTCATGCGTGATAAAGTTGGCAAGATCTTCAATTGTTAAACATTAAGAATGTAGTTGTTACCAAATGCATCATTACTCAATGATTGAGCAAACAAAAGTTCATTTTTAACCTCAAAAAGGTCTTTACCATTTGGATAATTAAGGGGGGATGAATTTTGTGAGAAGTTGTTCAATTCATATGAATGTCTAAATTCTAGAATTCATTGAATTTATTTGAATTACTCATTTCTAACGAGCAAATCAATTTGTCTTTTTTTTTGCCAAAGACAAGCACTGCCGGCCAGGACTCTAAAAAGCTTTTTTGTTATTTTTGAAGATTTAGTCTTAAAGTCCTGTGTCTGTAGGAGCGAGAAATTTATTTAATCCCTATCTATTTTTTGATAACTCTATATAGTAAACTATAAGATCTAAAATGCATCAAAATATAAAATACAACAAGTAATTGTGAGTGGATTAAAGGTTTTTTATGAAGTTTTTTTAATTTGATAGATCGCACGATATTTAAAAAATTGGTCTAAATTTACCTACATGATATAAAATATTGATGAGCCCACATGATTATTAGCATAATAAGTTAGTCTATGTATTTGACATATCTAGCATTAGATTTTATACTAGTATAGAACTTTAAATGCAATATGAGGCATATATATGACTCTTTTTTACCATGATTTATGCATTGTAAACAATAATTCATATTTAAACAAAAATTTTATAACATATAAAGAAAAAAAAACAAGCATGAATTAATTCACATTATTAAGAGAGATTCGCATATGGGCTAAAATCACATTTATTTATTGGTTTCATATATACATTATTTAAGCATCATTTTTTGAAATTAAAGACTAGATATATGATTTACTCCTCAGACATCTCTACAAGAGAAAACTCGTCAACCTAGTTGTCAGTTGCTTCTTCTTTAGCAGCAACAATTGGAGGAGCATTCTCAATCGAGGTGATAATATCTTCTTTAATCTTCACACCACCAATACTCTCAAGAGCTTGACCGCCACCACCAGGGATCCTGACATCAAAATGGTTCATCCATGTCGCCTTGAATTTCTTTGGCGCGACAGTAAGTCCATTATGAGTGTTAACAATGTGAAGTTTGCGAGGCTTCTTGTTCCTATTCTTTGCAGCCTTTCTCTTTTGCCTCTCCTCACTAGTTTCATATTTATAATGAGCTCTTAAAACATGAGTCGCAAAAAGCAACGATGTACTGAACCCTTCCATACACTTAGGGCATGTGTATGGACCGTATTTGTTGCAAGGGAGGCTGTGAGTCACCCCATCATAACTCTCATCATCATCACTTTCAGATTGATGATGATCTCCATTTGGGTTTTTCAGAACTCTTGTTTGTTGGGAACAATTTTCGATGGAGTTTTCACTCATGCGCGATAAAGTTGGCAAGATCTTCAATGATTGAGCATTAAGAATGTTGTTGTTGTTACCAAACGCACCATTGCTCAATGATTGAGCAAACAAAAGTTCATTTTTCATCCCGAAAAGGTCCCTACCATTTGGATAATTAAGGGGGGATGAATTTGGTGAGAAGTTGTGAGGATAATGATGAGTAACAGGAAAATTGTTAACGTTTCTAGCAAGCATCGTTGGGTTTGGCATGGTGATGTCGGTCAACTGGTTTCCGATATTGGAGTAAGCTCCTATGAGTTGTTGAAACCCGATCAAGTTATTGAAAGATGGCACAGAAAGTTGCAATCCAGCAGGATTTGAAGTGAGAAAACTTTTACGCACAACTTCAGTTAAAAAGACCTCAGCAAAGCCTGGTTGATTTTGGAGAGGGACACAACCAATGTAATTTTCAACCTGGACCCTTGTTGGGCAGGAACCGAAGATTCTCCCCATATCCTGACCCATCATTAGATTGCTTATCCCATTTTGGTCAACACCGAGATTGTTTTTTGGGAAAAGGATGGGATTTTGGGTAAATCTGGTTGAGGAATTGGTGAAATTGAATTGGGAATTCGCCATGATATTCCTTTGGTTAACATGGTAATTAGCATTAGATCTCAGAAGGTTGCTTTGGCTACTTGAGTTGAAGAAGCAAGTCATATTGTTGTCAACACCATTACCATGATAATTAGGATTGAACGAAACTGAGTTGGAGTTAAAAGAAAAAGAGGACTTAAATTTCGTCGCCATGGAAATGATTGAGAGGCTCGCAAAGAACACAGGAAAATAATAAAGCGAAATAAGGAGAGAACAAGCTTTGATGGAAGACAGCTAGGGTTTATATCACATATTTATAATATTTTTTTTGAGGTTGGTGGGATGAAACTTTTTTTCTAAGATATCATTGTCTATCCATAAATTTAAAAATTTAGATATTTATTACAAATTGGGTAATGTAATAATTATTTTTCTAAAATTTGGCAGATTTGACGGTTATTCAAGAAAAAGAAGAGAATCTGATATTTTTAAATATATTGAAAAATCAGGTATAAAATTAAATAAAAATTTAATGGTTATAAATCT